CCAATATTATGAATAAATAATCGGCAACCACGAATTTGGATGCTACCACGATTATTATTTTACTAATAACAATCTCTTTAACTTGTGTCACTTTTACCGACAATCCACCGAAATGTGGCAAGTAAGGAATAACGAATACCTATCAAATATCGAATATTCGTACTTACTCCGATTCCACTACACTTGAATATCAACGAATAGCGAATACCTATTCGTCGAATTGTACGAGTTATGTGAACCCGGTATTATGTAAAATTATATAAAAAAAAATAGCAAAGCAGGAGAATGTCGTCCTGTAGACAGGAGTACATGTCACAGTCACATGATTTACAGAAAACTCTCATACCTATGCTGTGAATATGCTTTATGATTTTTTTTCTGTTGGAAAGTGTAAAATCACTTATAACTCACTGGATTTCAATTTTTGATTATATAATCAAAACTCACAAATAAAGAGGATTAACCAAAAGAAGATGAAAATTGATCATATTTAAACTCTAATTATGCAGCGTTCAGAAATTTAATTTTCAAAATTCATGGCTTGTAAAAAGATTTCCTAATAACAATTAAGGAAAAAAAAATTGTCGAAAACTGACAAATCTATGATGCATTTGAGTTTTTCCTGTTACTATGTTTTAGAACCAAAAACAGTTCGCTTACAGGCTTGAGGCTCTTTAAATAAATTATGAAAATGTGTAGACAAATATGGTTTAAGTAAGTAACGAAATTATGAAAAGAAATACATTGTTTATTGAAAAAATTAATTTAAAAAAAAATACAACTATTACAATTATCTCAATAATTACATATAATAGTATAATAGAAATTATTATAATATTCCCGGTAGCACTTACATAACAGTGATATTAGAACAGTTTTTGTCTCGAAAATCATCGTCGTTCTAGATGATTGTTATTCAAGTTGGACTTCGTTACCGACAGGCAGCGCCATCTAGGATAAAGGTAATCGACATCCAAAACGTTGTCAGATTCCGCAGTGGAGCGTTTTTCACCGATCCCGAGCATAAAACTCTCGCTTGTGTTCACTTTTTCATTTGTGTATAGTATATATACGAGTGACTGAGTTTCCATTGGTAGTTGGTACCGAGGACGCGCTTGCCACGGACGTCAGAACTCACCGTATGGTGAACCCCCATCAATGATTTAAAAGGGATGGTAATGAGCTCCGGGTTCAGAGGGGTGTCTGCCCGTGTTGCATGCTCCCACCCTTAAAGACATAATTGTAACCTATATAACTTAATCGTACTCGTCCGAAGGAGGACCAATTCTTGGGACCGCCAAAGGTCCTACCATCACGCTTCGTCGCTCGCAAATTTACCCGACTTCGGTACCAAAATTTTTGGCGATTTTTTCTCCGACCATATGTTTACATAACATCACCGGACTCGATTACACTAATATAAATATGTTGTATTTTTTTTTTCATGAAAATAATAGCATATATTTTTCGTGTCGGACTTCAGTTGTATTCAGGGGGTCTCGGCAAAACAATTTTTTTATCTCAGAAAATATTAACTTTTTTTATTTGACAATTTAGGAAACAACTAAACAAGCAACTCTACAAAATGTTACATTGCCGATATTTTTTCCGCCCTTATTTCTAGGGGTGAAATCATTCTAAAAGTTATTAATTCCGTAACTCTAATATTTCTTTCTTCAAATTTTTCTAGATAATGTGTTTTAAACACAAAATTAAGTTCGTTATCTCTATATAATGTACCTACCTCATTTGGTAACATGACTGATAAATTACTCTTTGGTCAGTGCCGCAAGTTTGGGCACTTTTATCTGGTCTGTATTCAAAATCCATACAACGTTTGACACTCAATAATTAATACCCCTAAACGCATAGCACGTTTGGCCGTTTAACTTAAAAAGTATGTAAAATGTATACATATAAATAAAATAACTCGTGTCAAATTTATATAATAATCCAAAATAATAATAAACCTAGTCATATAAAATACATAAGTACCTATATACTCGTATCAAATCAAATAAATAATATTATTTAGTATACATTAATGTATATTATATGTTTATAAATTTACCTTGTTAGGTTAGGCAAGTAAATAAATTATGATTATGGATGATAATGCAATATTGTGATGAGATTTATCTATGGATTTATAAGAACTTTGCTTATTACTATAATTGGAACCATTCATAAAATATTTTATGGATCATAAAAACCATAAGATCTTATAACATAAAGTATCAAGATGTTTTTATACAAAGTAAACTTATATAAGTAAACGTTTTATATTAAGTATTTATCAATACGTTACTACAATATAATATAACTATGTTTGCAGTACTTTAAGCGCTATCCACAAAATTAAAGTGAACTGCGATGATATACAGCCAATAAATATATTAAATAGTAGTTACTAATTATCAAGGTACACCTTGCTAGATAGACTTATTATGCTGATATGGTACTAACAAAATGATTTTTAATCAATAAATCAAACCTTTCTTGGTAACTTTGCGGAAATATAGAGTGATTTTTAGATTCTAAGTGGAGCGAAAAAGCTTTTAGTTTTACAAAGATGATTATTTTTTTTTTTAAACTGTTAACAACTTTTCTACCAGAAAACATACACAGATTTCTAAGTGTGGCAGATTTTCTAAAATTTATCAAGATTATAATCAGCTAGCTTGTAGTTATTCAGTTGAAGATTTTAAATTTTAATTGACAACCAGTTCTAAATCTAGAAAAGACAATGCATAAATTGCTAGTATTATATCTTTTAGTGAAAAATACAAGGTATTCAAGTTGTCACAATGACTTAAGATTATTTAATATAAAAGAACTTATACAATATGTGAATATACCAATATTTTTATAATGTATCCAGTTTATAATCTAGAATAATATAATGCATAAATTACAATCATTCACGTTTTTTAGTGAAACTTACATGGTATCTACTTTTTTACAATTACTGTAACTATCGATATACATGAATTAAGTTGCTATTGAGATTTTTAAGATTTAAAAGTATATTTAATGGGAATAAGAAATAAAATCATAAACTTTAATTTATAAAAATTATTATTTTATCTAAAAATCGTATTCAAAGTTTAAAATTACCAAAGAATATATAATGTTTTAATTAAAAATTATACTATCAAAAACTTTTAAAACATTTAAATTTACCAAAGTGTTTATAATTTTTATTGGTTGAAAATCATTTGTAGAGCTTAATGATTATTTTCAATAAGTGAGAGGGGAGATTTGGGTCTAAAATATATGAATACATATATTACAATAGAGTTTTTAAGAATATGTGTGTTAAAACTTAACAAGATCATAACTTGTTTCATCATCTCTGATGAAACAAGTTGAAAGTTTTTAATTTTGAATTGACAACCAGTTTTGTATCTAGAATAATATATTGCATAAATTACTATTATTTATTTATTTTAATGGGACTTACATAGTATTTAATTTTTTACAATAACTATAATTATTTTTATATTAAAAATTAGTTGCCACATCAATTTTTAAGACTTAAAAGTATTCTAAGTAGGAATTCAATTTGAACTTATATAAAAAACAATGATTTAATAAAAGAAACGTCTATAATTATTGAATTTACAAAAGTTTTTATAATGTTGAAGTTCAACATTTTTTGGAGAGCTTGATGATTATTTGGTGTGAGTTGGAAAAGAAATTGTGATGAACATTAGATCTAAAACTAAAGTAAAATATTTATCAATAAATTACAGACTATTTTAAAATAATTAGTGTGTTAAAATTAAGCAAGACGAATTACTACAGCTATTTTCTAGTAATCCAGTTGAAGGTATTGATTTTGGCATCCAGTTGAAGATAATGATTTTGGCATGATGACCTGTTCTGAATATAGAATTTATAAAGAAATTAAAATTTTAGGTTTTTATTAGTAAAACTTACAAGGTATTCAATTTTTAATATGACTGTCTATGTACATGAATATTGATGCCATTAAGGTTTTTAAGATTCAGATGTATATTTAATTGTTTCAATAACAAAAATTATTATTTTTGTATAATATACAATATTTGAATTTACCAAAGTTATTACATTATGTCACTTGAATATTTTCTGGAGAGTACTATGATAGTCTTGTATGTATGAGAGGAGAATTTTAGGTGAACCTAAGCCCAGTATTTAAAACAAAATAATAAATATATAACAATAAATCTTTTAGTAATTAAGTTGAAGATTTTGATTCTTACTTGACAACTAGTGCTAAATCTAGTAGAATATAATCCATAAATTACAATCATTCATATATTTTAGTGAAATCACAAGGTGCTAACGTTATTACAGTAACTATATTATATATTATACAAGAATATTGTTTGCTAATTAAATTTTTACATTTCAGAAATGTATTTAATGGGAAAAAAAATCTGAAATTGCCATGTTTAAAAACATTTATTTTATTTCAATGAGGTTTACATTATTCGCATTTATTATTACAATTGGCATTTTTAAATATATTTTTTGATTTTGCGATTTTACTTTCATAGAATAACTTTGATCAATGAATGATATTGAAGAACATAGTTTTCATAATTTAAATTATTTAAATTAAACTGCACAATAATAATATCTAATACATTAAGTAAAACTATGATAATTTACAAATATTTTTAGTCAAAAATGTAATTACAAACTTGTCTTTGTTAGAAGTTATATCAGTAATCAGTTTTCTTTTATGTTTTAGGTAATTAAAAAATTATTCCGTACAACAAATAATTAACACTAAACCAAACATATTGCACAGTCTTATTGGGTACAATTTGTTGGGGAAAAAAAACAAGTGAAGAATGAAGATAAACTAAAGAGTCTAATACATTTAAATGATAACAAGATAATTAAAAATAATAATTTTTTTATCAATTGTAGTAGTTAATAGACATTGTGGTAAAATATATTTATTTATATCAGTTACATTGTCTATTAGGCGATCTGGCAGCTACAATTTATTTCCTAAGAGTCTGCATTTTGTCCTGTGTAATCAAATCAGTTTGCATTTTAGAACATCTTCTATTACTTATTTCACCATTCTAAATAAAAAAAAAATATAGTCAAGGGGGGGGGGGGGTAGTCAAGGGTAACTACTGGGTATGTCATCAATTTTATGATATGCACAAAATGGCACAAAATTAATCATTGTATAAATCTCTGTTATACAGTGGACAATTAGGTTCAATGATCAATGATTAACTAATGTTGTGGTTGTTTTATACAATATTTTAATTTTATTGTATTACAGTTTGTACCATAGAGTAGATCATAGGTCTGTACCTACTAATTTACATGATACTGTCTTATTACCAATTATATTTTTATTTTACCAAAATAATCAGTATTCTGTTTTTGACAAGGGTTTTTTGTTATTAATATTTTAGATTTTAGATTTTGAGTGCAGCAAAGAATTTTTTTTTGTTTAATTTACAAAAAAATGCAAAATTACATTGCTATAAATATATATAAAGAGCAGTTTTTGGACTACAATTTGGTAAAATCTACAACCAATTATTTTTGTAGTTGCAGAATGTTTGGTAGCCTATTAGACTTGGTTACTTACCAATTACAAAAGGTTCTATTGTGAGTATCAAAACCAGTATAAAATACATTGTAAGCTTTAAATAAAATTTTGTATTCATGAGTGCAACAAAATATTTTGGTTAAAGTAGCAATATTCTGGCTGTAAATACAATTCTTTTCATGATATATGTGTGATGATGGTGATTATTAGATCAAACAGAAATGCTTGAAAATTTGAGATTCATTATAATTTATAATTTTGGTAAAAAAAAAGCTAAAGTACACATTTTTTTTTTTTTGTTAAGTACTAAATTTTAAGGAAAATCATAAATACTAGGGCCTTTCAAAACATATATAACTAAATTTCACTTAGAATCGTTAGCAAAGATTAATCATTACATACAGAAATACATTTAATTGCCCACAATATCCTACCTTCCCAATTTCTCATCTACAATTGTGGCGCACCCATCATGTGAAGTAGGTATGTTTGTTTTTCGAAATATAAATATTAAATAAATAATCATTTACACACATTTAGAAATAATAAGTAAAAGGTTTATATTAAAATAAGCTATGTGTTAACATTAAAATGTTTTATGTATAGAAAGTTAATACAAATGTAGTGTAAAAAATAAAATAAGTTGAATAAAAAGTAGTTATTATAATATCATATTACAAGTTTACAATTATATATTGCATCGGCAATCGTGAGTTCACCAACAGTAGCAGTAGTCGGGTTTTTCCTCTAAGAATTCTTTTTTTAAAACAGTGTAAAACTTAGGAGTGAAACTTGAATCTAGAAAAAAAAAAAATTTGGTTACCCATATTATATGATACTTAATATAAAACTATTTTAGTTTGCGCATTAACAATACACATATTACAATCAAACAGTAGTTTTGAGAGTACATGCAGTTAAAAAAATCCACCAACCTACATATTATACCAACTGTATTTTAAAAGGTTGTTTAAGCTTCTATGCTTAAGTTAAAATGCAAGTCTATAGTATATTCTAGACTTCTAGAGTACATACATTTTTTTTTAATAAATATAACATTTTCTAAAGGTTAATACCCCTATTGTTTTATTTAGCAAATATACAGTTATAACATGAAAGTTGTATCAAATAGTCATGTTTGAAATTGCAACCAAATAATAATTATTATTTTTCAAATATTCATAAAATATTATGACCAAAGCTTGGATGTTATTGATCAAAATTTATTTTAAATATGTATTTAAAAATTTCCAAATTTGCAATTATATGCCTTAAAATATATTAAATATAATTATATTGCTTATAATTTATTTTAGTTTATTTATTTTCAACAGAATAATGTATTAAGTATACCTATTTTTCAACAAACATAAAAAAAACAGATGTTAATATTAATTTTCTGCCTACGATTAATAACATCTTCTCCTTAGTATTTCACAAACAATAATCTTCACAAAGACCTAAAAATTCCTACACTCAATCAATTAGCAAAAGCACATTACTCTACATTTTACTCCAACTTAAACTCTCATAGTAACCCATTAATAAAGCAACTTTCTTCCACCTCACTTCCTGGCAACGTAAGCAGAAGACTTAAAAGACAGTGGCCTAGAGACCTACTAAAATATATATATAATAAAAAAAAATCACGACATCTAAAATGTTGGGTGGTGCTGCTGAGTGCCTGCCCTCACAAATGCTAAATTCTATTACTTTATATTACATCAACTATCAAATTTGCTCATTGTACATAATGTTGTATAAATTGTAAATAAAATTGCTAAAAAAAAAAAAAAAAAATAAATATTAATTTAAAATAAACTATACACTCCTTTAATCTTGCATGCATTGAATATACAAATTTTTTTAAAAAATTACAAAAGACTGGGTTAATATTAATTCAAAATGGTTCAAAATCGAAAAAACAAATTAAATGTTACATAGATTAAATACTTTAAATCTCAGGATTGCACATTGTATATCAACTATTTTACTTATATTTTCAAATTAGAAAGACCGAAAGTATGTTTTTGTTAACTACCCACTGTATTTACATACAGTAGATTAATAAATAACTAGATATGTTAGTAACTTTTATTGATTTATGTAGTGATATAAAGTGTTTGGTAAATAGTTACTATACAAATTTTTAATATTATATTTAAAATTGTTTAAAATATATTACTAAATCTAAAATTATCAAATATGCAAATATATGCAAAATAAGTTTGCATATTTGAAATCTAGATTTCATTAATCAAATTTATATATTTATATCATATTCGGGTATAAATCAGATTTCGCTAAAAAAAATATGCATTCATAACATCCGAGCTCTGGTTAAAACAATTAATAAGGATGAACATAATATAATCGCAGAAAGTATTATTGCTCCATATTATATTTATGGAATTGAAATACAGTTACATAGACTGTAACTTTCTAGAAAAACAAATAGCTGATGGTAGAACAGATAATATTTCTCCGAAAAATGAAATATGTAAACCATATTTTCACAGACTATATAAACCCTGAATTTCACAAAACATATAGTTTCAGATTGTATTTTACCAGAAAAAATAAATACATAGGATTACAGACATTTTGCTTTATAGACTTTCCTAACTTAAAAATTATAGCAATAAGGTCGGGAACAATATGGTGTGCGTATTTTTTGATTTCGGTGAAATACGATCTGGAATAATACACTGTTAGTGAAATTCTAAGATTCTAGAGTCTGTGAAAATGAGTACGAGTATTTACAGTTAAGAATTCTAAGATATGCACAATTATTTTCAGGGTTTCTACATGCATCCAATTAAAATATGATATTAAAATTAATTAATTAATAATATTTATCAAGTAGTTATCAAACCCAATATTTTATATATAATAAAAACAAATAATATACATATAACCAAGAATAATTAAATTTATGACAATAAGGGACTGGGATAACTGTATATTATGCAAAGTTCACAATAGAAAATTAAGTTTCTTGAACGTTTTGGCAATAATAGCAATAGTAGATTTTGAAATGTAAATGGTTTTTTAAAAAAAAACCAGATAAGTTAATAAAAAAAGGATATTAATGAAGCACTTAAGTAAGTTTATGTAAATTTACCAAATTAAATTTAAATTAAAAATAAATACTTACAATTCACGATTTATATTTTTGCATCCCTCACTTAAGGTTACATGCGCGACTTGATTCATGTAATTCTAAACCAAACCAAAAGAATATATGTATTTAATTTTTACTAAATATTGGTTGTTTTGTTAATGTATGTTTTTAATATTCGGCTAATATTACTTACCAACTCATTAACCATATCAAAATGAGCTAGAAGAACTCTTCTATTATTGACCATATTGAAAAACATATTAACTGTTTTTGCTTTAACTTCATTAACTGTGTTGAAATTAAACAAACAACAATGAATTGCTTGAGCTTTTAATGTGCAAAATTTCTTATCCAGGTATCGCAGATCTTTCTTCAGTATAAAATCCATTGTACCGCAGTCAACATGAATTACCTAATAAATATGGTTTTATTATAGCATGGAATTCAAAACATTTTAACAAAAAATTACTTGGACAACCATTGATTGAACTTCACGAATAATTTTAACTCTACGCCATTTGTTTACATTTATAAAATAAGCTGCAAAGTATGAACCAACTAAAATGTGCTCTGGTTTAACAATGTATTTTTGACGTGGTATAAAATAAAAAACTCTAACAAAAAATTGTAAATTCAAATATTACCATATGCAACATTAATTGAACAAATATATTTTATAAAGAGGAAAAATAAAAAGATGTCCTAGGATAATAAGGATGGGTTCAGTTACTATTTTAAGTAACTTAATGTATATCTGTTAGCGACTATTGCTAATAAAAATTGATTTTGATCAGAGTTTAGTTGATAGTGTAGTAGATTTGTCAATATATATATATCATATATTATGGTAAAATAATCATATTACTAGTATATATTTTCTTTAAAAATATTTGTTCAATATTGTACCTATTTTTCTGTTTTTCACACAGTTTTCCAATGGTTTTTCCCAAATTTTCTTTTTATTGGGAAAACGAGAAAATCAAAAAATTACCTCTCTAAAGTACTTCCTTACATTAATCTCCTTTTGAAAAAATTGCTATCATTATAAATTGGTGAAAAATTGCTTATAGTAAAGTTGCCCACAGAAAGAAATCATAATAATGTATAAATATACTACATACCATCGAACTATATAAATGTGAAATGAAAATCTTTGTACAGGATAAACTCTGGAACTACTTATCAGATCTTCTTGATTTTTTTTTTTTTAAAACAAAAGAATATATCATGGTGATGGTTTCTATCACAATAGAATTTGTATAAGTTAAAAAATTTCTAAGTTATCTTCTAATTAAAATAAATGTGTAACTTATATAAATTGCATACCTAGATTATTAGAACGTCTTCGCTTCACTTATAATTTCCGAGAAAATCAGTACATTAAACAAATGTTATTAAAGAAAATATATAATGCCTATTTAATTATTTTACCATAATATGACACATATATTGTTGACAAAGCACCACTATCAACTGAACTCCGAATCGTTTTTTCAATGGTTTGTCGTTGCTTACAGATATACATTAAATTACATTACCTATAACAGTGGCTACATCTAACACCATTATCCTAGGACCGCTTTATAAATATTTACTTACTGCATATCATGGGATAAAGAATTAAGGCTTTCAATATTTTTGAGTAATTGAACAAAAAAGAAGCATGGATGATATGCTTCAGAGACTATGACCTGATGCTTGTTGTTACTCCTATTGTGTATCCTTTTTTGCAGTATATTTATAGACACATTTAGAGTCAATTCTTGTTCAATTCTTTTCTAAAAAAAAATAGCAGATCAAATTATTTAAATTAACTCAATACACATATATATATATATGTCGTAGACACTTCATGAAATCGATATTTTCATGTAAAAGGAAACACCTTGTTTACAATATGTGGAATACAAAAAAATATTTTCGCTATGTCCACAACGGTGTACTGTAATAAAATATTTACCACACTTAACTATTATTTAATTATTATGTATTTATTTTTATATTATTTTTGATTGAAAAAAGTAATTTGTTTAATATTTTATTTATTTGAGATGAGAAATTGTGACAATGGCTATTAAATTTCATATCACCATTATAACAAGTACATCACTTATTCTTACAAATACTTTTACATGAACAATTAAAAAAAAAGGAACTCATGTAAAGTTTATGTGGTTTGTTTATTAACTTGTTCAAGTAAGTTAAAGCAGTGAAATTTGTGTAGTTCAAACAGCATCTATAGGAGTCTAGAGTACCTACACTGTTGAATATCAAGGTATAATCAGAAAACTTATTTATACAATTGTATATTATCAAAACCAATAAAATCTATACATTTCAAATACCCCATTAGGTAATATTAGTTTCCTTTTCATGAAAAATATTTTTTTCACAAAGTGGCTACAACTTCTATATTGTAATAACTGTCTTATACTGCAAATTATAGACCTTTATAGGCTACATTAGAAATATAATTGTATAAACATTTTTTAAAAATATTAGTACACACCTACTAATTTTAATTACGAGTTTATTTATTTATTTGTATTTTTACTAATAACAAATCAGACCAATTTGGTTCACAAATTTGCTTTTACACATACATAAGACGAAAATAGTATGAACATAATAAAAGAAGATATTAATGTATATTTTTAACTAAATAAATGAGAAATTATACTTGTAAATTGAGAAGTTTAGTTTTAGTCCAATTTGATTCACAATCGAGCCACCTTTTATAATTTGGTAAGTCTAATTGTTTATGTAGCATATTATTATAAATATAAAAATATTGAGTATTATTAAAAACTTCTGCTAGTGATTTATAACCATAATGACCTGGTTTAAACACAGAATGATTTATTTTCTAAAAAAAAAAAAAAAAAAGTATTAATAAAATAACTAATTTCTATTTAATTTAATTAACTTACAATGTAAACTAATGAAAACCATACACTATTCATCCAACCATTATAGCTCCTGAGCACTAGTAAAATTCTATACAGAATTACTTCTGGAATAATTGCATGTTGAACCAACAAATTAACAGCTAACATAACATATCAAGAAAAATAAAATTAGCTAATCAAAATATGTGTCAGTATTATAAAAAACACTGTAAAATAAATAAATTATTTTGTATTAAATTGTCTTTTATAATATAAGATAGGGTGACCATAAAAATAAAATAAAAATACAGAACACTAAAATAAACAAATTAAACTTGATGTAAGTATAATGTATTCTAAATAAACCTAACTATAATTGTTATAATTTACAAAAACAAAATAAATGTCAACTATATAAAGGTTTTTGAATACCTATAAATTAAATACGTATACACAAAGACAGTTTTACTTTCATGATAGCGGTTGATCAATTTTTTCTTCTTTTGTTTTGTGTAGATACTTTTCAGCTAAACTAATTGCGTAGAGTATAATTTATTATCTTTTAATAAAATATTGTAAAACTTATAAGTTATTACAAGAAACGTTTTTAAAATGCTGTCATTACTTATTATATGGTGTATGTAATATAAAATATTTGCCAGAATGGTCAAAACAATAATACACAAATTCCATAGTAAAGTAGATTTTATTGAAAAATGTCATAAAGAAATCAAAAAAATGTCTAGTTATTCATTAACAGTAAGGGGATAAACGAGATTAATATGGTACAGACTTGAAAAAATAGGAGAAAATGCATCCCATATAACTTTTGTTGAGACAACGGGATAAACAGTTGAAATACTGTACCTAATACAAAAGAAAATGAACAAACTCTGATACTGCTGATGGCAGTGCCACTGTTGTAGGAATGCAGTTGGTAAGGTGGCATACATAAAACCATTTAATTATTTATATATATACGTTATGATAAACAATTGTAAACGAAAAACAGCTCTGAGCAAAAATCAGTTAAACATTATTAAAATGCCCTATAAATTATTTCGTGGGTACCTATGAAAAATGGGTTAAGTCAACATTTTGTGAAAAATGAGTTATAAACATAGCAAAATTCGGAAAAAAAATAACTTTAATTTGTGCTTTTATAGTTTAAGTCAAAGTGTGTTATTCATTGAATAATAAAAAAATATTTGTTGAGTTAAGTCACTATTTTTCTCTTTTTAGTGTATTTGAAGATAATTTGACTTAAATTTTTTTTATCTATTTGGTTATTACATAACTATACAACTCACTGCATTTTATCAAATGCATTTAATTTTTCTATTAGACTGGAACCTAACCTATACATATGTACCTAAATAATTAAATATTATACACACACACACACACACTTAAAAACTATAAACAATTATTTTAGATAAAACGGAAACGGCGTTGGCGATAAGCGCTCACATTTTTTTACGTGAAGGTATTCGTAATAGGTATTCGCAACAATTAGCGTACACGATTAATGATATTATGGAAAAATAATAATTTTCACGTCGATTTGAGCACACGAAAATGTGCAATAAGAATATATTAATTTATTAATTGGCTATTCGAGCCGATAACTATGTACAATGAAAAAAGACGCTATAAAAGCACACGTAGATACCGTCGTACGACTGACGGAGCGAAAGATCGAATCACGAACGGACAATATAAAGTATAGACACATCGGGCCGCCGTACAACGTGGAAATCTTTTGCAATTTAAAATTAATTTCAACAAATTATTGTTACGTTAAAATATAGCACATTTTATTTAATTACAATGATTACTGATAACATTATCGAATGTCAATAATTAATGAATATTTGAAAAAAAATTCGAACCACAATTTATATTATAATAGTTGTTTGACCTGTGATGATGACGCCAAAAAGGGTAAAGTAGAAAAACTTTACTGAATGAAAAAGACAACATTAATGGAATTGATGATTTAACATAAGGATATAATTGAAAATATTGTGGTATTTTTTTGACAGGTCTACTTCATTATAAATTACAATATGTTAGGCAAGGTAAAAATCAGTACCTATGCATTTTAGACTGATTTTGTTCATGTCAAAAAAAAAAAAAAAAAAACAATCTTGGGAGAAAATAACCAAGCTGCACAATACAAATGATCCAGAAACTGGAAATAGAATAGTTTTGGAAAGAAATTAAAATTCATAACACCATATATTAAAGAATTTGTAGAAGTTACAGACACAAAATTTGACCTGTAAGTACAGGACCAATAACTAAGGAATTTCAGATCCGTTAAAACTAACGAGCGATCAAGTAACACACAATTTTTTTAAACGGGCCAGTAGAGAGTTAAAGGCCCTGTAAACCACTAATAAACGTTTATGCAACCCAGCCAATCTTTAATGTGTTGTATGTGTGTGTGTGTGCATATGTGGTCGCTTGGTAATTATGATAATAGCCCGACCTTGACCAATGTCCGTCGATAACCAGTACTAGCTAATTTTTAAGAATGCCTTGAAAAACACTATCAAGGCACTCTAGTTTACATCATACAGGTAAAAAATAAGGCAAAATAATTTGAACTACAGTAAAATAGTAGGTAATCAATTAAAAATAAGTAAAAAATAAATTTTCTGTTGAATAATAACAACTAAATTCTAACAATGTTAAATTAATAAAAGTTATATTGTATTATTAAAGATTTTATTTTAATTAAAATATTTACTTTAAATATTTCTGAAATGAGTTGAAGATTATTTTTGGTTAGAATTTAATAATATATATTCAAGCACTATGGTTCAAAAATCAGCTAAAACAGGTTAGGTTAGGCATACTATTAAGTAAATAGGTAATAGGTAATTATTATGATCAACATTATTAGTTTACAATGGAAATTCAATAACAGTGTTTAACATTATTTACTGTGCTATCTTACGGAAAGCTAGCATAACTATAATCATTTTAGTCACCAAGTATTCATACATCATGCTATCTGTCTAATATAAAATCTATGGTAGTATATTATTATGTACAGGTATAAAATTTGAAAAGAAAAATTAGCAAATAATAAATTATTTATACCTGGATTAGTTTCAGCATTATCAGGCTTTCTAGTGACCTTTTTTTTGATTAATTTGTTGCTGTCATTGGTGATGGGTTGATTGGTACTATTACTTCTGTTAATAGCTGAGTTATTAGGATTGAAACTTCCATTTGCTGAGGTACTCGGGCGCTGATATTCTTCATCTCTGTTTAATGTGTTCATGATCTGTATTAAATGATCAGATTTAATTTTGCCAACAATAGATGCTATGCAATTTTCAATTGGATTTATTAGTTGTTATTTTGTTCTTGAATAAATATGATACAATTTTATTTATAATTTTACAGTTTTAATTAAAATATAATATTTACAAAAACCAATGTTTAAGCTTTTTAGCTTTAAGGCTTATAGTTTTTACAGTTTTTAAACTTGTATGAAACATACATATTTGTTTAAAATTAAGAACATGTTTTTTTAACTAGTTTTGTTTTTTAATATTCTCCCTAAAAATGCCTTTTAAATGTATTAGTTATGATTTATAATAAATATATTTATATGGGTGTTTAGAATTGGACCACATTTTACCTATCTGTTCACATAGGTATCTACAATATTTTGTGAACATTATTACCCATTTATTAGGCTTCAAATTAATAGCATAAAAAAATATGTGTATATAAAATGTATAATTTAAAAAAGGTTACGAAAAATGTATTTGGTATTGTGTAAAATACCAAAAAATAAAATCCGAAATATTTTTGATGGAGATATTTTGATGTGAATCCATAGGTACAGCAATTTAATTTAAATCTGTATGAAAAATCATAATAATAATCAATAATCATTGCTAACAAAAAAACAACTCTGACTTTTGAGTTAAGTTTGGTTATATATATTTTGAAATTACTTTTTCGACAATTTATAAAAATGTTTACTTTGTGTTTATCAAAGAGTACAAATCATGAGCTATGGATTGGCCAAACCAATTTTATCAACACAAAACAACATAAAAACTAAAAAAAATTAATAAAAATAAAAATAAATAATAATTATTAATAATTTAAAAACATTAGCATATTATGTTCAAAATAATACCACATTTAAAATTGACTAATTAGCAGTGATGGGCTACAATGTCAATAATTCGATATAATATTGTTTGATATATCAGGAATTATTTGTAGGTTCTAGCTAATATAGATGTATAGAATATGGATAGACTATTCTTGCCTTATCAGTGTTCCAAGATTGATTAGTAAACTGAAGAGTTTTGTTTTTCTTTATTATCTATGTTTTTTTTTTGTTTAATGAAAAATAGATACAATTGTACTAAAATATATTTCAACAATTTAAGATTAATCAATTTAGCTTATAAAATGTAAGCTATAAATGTATGATATTTATACATAAATGATAGGTAACAAATTGTGGCCCATGCTTAGTAATTTAACAATTATAATTCTATGTTTAACTTGTAAGATATTATTGATATTGTTCAATTGTCCATCAAAAAAACATAAAAAAAAATGTAAAATAATATTATGTTATTAATTTACAAATGTAACATTAAAAAATATCACTTATCAATCAAAAATTATCGTTAAAGTGATAACTAAAAACTAAATTTAATTGCTTTTAAAACACACAAAAATTGCATATTAAAAATATATGACTGCACCAAAAAATACATAATAAATTACACAATAAAAATACAAAAGTTATACAAAAATAATAAGATAAATGTTACCTTTTTAAATTAAAGTTGATATTTAGATACATTTCTAAATTATTTTCATTAAAATTAAATCTTCTATTACTTAAAGTATGTTTGTACAAAGAAAAACTATGTTCTACATCTCCACTATTTATTGGTGCATATTTAAAACAATTTAATAAAGTAGGTGTTATATATGAATTAACATTTACTTTACTTGACATGACTTCACGGTAAAACTTTAAAGTTTTATACCCTTCATTTTTTTTCAATTATAAACATAAATTTTCGTTAATTTTTTTTCCATTTGGACCAGGAATATTTGTTAAAATAATTTCAATTTTTCTAAAAATAACCATGCTTTTCAGTAGTTCACTATTAGATTCTTCTAAATTTTTCAGATTCATGGATAACTCGGCTTAGTGTAATTTTATGAATGCTAAACCACATTTGACTGATTATTTTGTAAAAGTTGTTTCAGCTTTTTGACACTTTCAATCAAGTTTATAAACTCTCCAAAATTATTTGTATAGAAAAGTGTAGCATTTAATCATGTTTTTCCGTCTTGTAATAATAGGTTCGGGTTGTAAAGGTATACCCAGCATTTCTTTTCTGTATTTATTTATTCTCGATGGTGATCTTATTAAGAAAACTTTTTTTCCTGAAATAAACAAAATAAGTTAAATATGTATTTAAACTTTAAATAGGTACTTAATATATTACTATTTTTTACAATTCTCGAATTTATTCTAGAACTCTATTAACTGTGTGCGCCATACATATACAGTAGAACCTTGATTATCTGAACCTCCGTTATATGAACCCTCTATTATCCGACCATGAAAACTCCTATCCAGCAGGTTGTCATATATATGTACAAATATATTACGATTGTCAAGTATCTAAAATGTCTAATAAACTAAACGTCATGTTCTTACGATGGAACAAAAATAGATAGTGACGACAGCAGTAGTAATGAAAGTATGGGTACACCAAAAGGACCAACATCTTCTGAAGCATTTACTGCATTTGAAACTGGTCTTGAGTGGTTTGAAAAACAGGCCGAATGTTGCCCGACACAATTACTTCTTCTTAAACGTTTGCGAGACTTGGCTGCCGGAAAACGCGTTGCAGCTCATCGTCAAATTAAAATTGACAATTTTGTCAAAAAAATATAATAAATAATGAATGTAATGTATGTAATTCTAATAATATATTAATAATAATAATAAATATTTAACTATAAAAATAATAAATAATTAATACATAATATTATAAAACATTTTTATTTTATATTTCCAATATCCAAACTTTTGCGTAACCGAACTAGATGCGGTCCAATTAGTTTGAATAATCGAGGTTCTACTGTAATACAAATTAATTTCGGGAAAAATATTTTTAATGTTTTTGCTGCTTTGAACATATAAGTAGCAGCATCACTAATAAAAAGTAATACTTTTTGTTCAATACCAGAAAATATTTTTAACGAGGAATTAATAAATTTTCAAATTTTGAGAAGTAATCAAAAGCTGTTTTTTTTCATTATTCCTTTGTAATGCATTTATGGGTTGAACTAAAAAAAAATATACATGTATTTTTGAAATAATATGTAGTATATTACGTATGAGCATAAAACTCAAAACTTACTTGTTTTGGAACGATGATCTGATATTTATTTTCAGTAGGCACAGATTTGTTACATACGAGACAATATATAACCTTTCCATCTGATCAAAATACTTCTTTATTTTCATGTTGAGGAGCAATCCAATTCGAAATTTTACTTTTTAAAGTTGATTTTATTTTAGGCATTACGTCGATACGTTCACTATGCGGTTAAATTGACCAAAGAAATAGGTACAAAGATACCAACAGGTAAACGCACAAAAATCGTTAATTTTCTTACCACCATATATATAAACGCTTATCGCTCGCTGGGCTCTTCAAGCTTCTAGAAAATTCCAGACGAAAGATAAACGCCTATGATTTAGAAACGTGAGAAAATTACGAAAAATTGCTAAAGCGTCGAAAATGGAAAAAAAAAATATTTTTGGTACATATCGGCTATATATTTAATCATATCTGATTTATCTTTATTGCAAAAAAAGTTGCAATATCAATTAAATTCGATCTTTAGTGATAACCAAATGATAACAAAACGCCTCAGTTTACCTTTCCTTATCAACACTCCGTGAATGTCGCCTCACTTATAATTGTTATTGGAGTGCCCTATCCATTTTTTTATTATCTATGCTTGTTCCGGGGAAATGGCAATTATAATAGTATTATATTTGTTTACTGGTAAAACACATAATGTCGTCTGTAAAGATTAAATCTGGGGTGGTTTCTTATTATTGTTCATAGTTACTTTTTTGTTCGTGTTGCCTATATTTTTGTATACAATGTTATATTTTTCTCATTAAAAAGGGACCTGCTTCTGGATAATTTAATCCAAATTGTAAATTGTGTCATAGGGCATCGATGTGACGTACGACATGTTCGTTATTTTTTATACATGACTTACGCCTTATTGTGATTAGTGCCCATAATTTCAAACAATTACTTTAGTTTTTAGTGATAAGTCATTTAATTAAATATTTATTTTAATAAGTAAAAACTAATAACTAATAAGTACTAAGTAGGTAATATGTAAAATGTGTATTTTCGATACGATACCGATTTCATACAACCTACCATGTCGGGATACAATATCGGAAAAGTCGGAACAATATCGACACACAAAATTATATCGTTGACCAACACTTCTAATTGTTGATTAAAATGTCAGCGGTTCATTTATTTTCTACTGAATTGCAATAAAAAAAAAACATAATAATAATGCAGAAACCGTGTATTGCGTGAAATATTGACGGTTACCCTATTGTTAAAAAAACTACAAGGAAAATCAACAAATTACCTATGTAGTGCACCAACTAGACACAACTTGCTACCGGATGCCGAAGTCGATCGTGTGATCGGAGCAAATTTGTTAATAATATAAACAAAAAGTAGGTATTATAAAATTGTATTAAACGTATTTTCTAACAATAAATCCGAAACCTTTTTAAATTAATAATAATAAAAATCAATCGATATTGATAATAATTCAGTTGAGAATGTACTACTTATTCGATTCATTCTTATCGTCGTTTTAAACGCGTTTCGATCGATTATATAATAAAATATAGGTTTTTTACTTACTTCAAATTTTAAGAATAACAAAAAATAATAATGATAAAAAGGCAATTAATAATATTGTCCGTTTGATTTTGAAACCGTTGTGACTTTGTACACGGGAATTGAGAAACTCTTCGGCAAAATATTAAAAAATAATATTGACTTGGCGTTCGTTTTGATTGATCACTATACTGGGACCGACGCGCTGGTAAACGGGGATCGTACAATAGGAACAAAGAAGGGACGCTATCCCCTCCAGTGTCGCTGAACAACGGCGGGAGGGTTGCGCGTTTCGGTGAAATATACGTACATTATAGACCGGGTCGGGTGGCCCGACCGAAATCGAACTCTGCCGGCAACAGTCGTTGTTAATTTTATTTGTTCAATGCATTCGGGAACCGACGAGAAAAAAAAAACCGGTTTGAATGGAGTTATCCTCCTAACGACCGTTTCAGTTTACCCTCCGTTAATCTGACTAACCGGACACAATAGGGTACTAAGCATTCTTCGAACAAACACGTTTTATCCATTTAGACGAAAAAATAATTTTAAAAACGCCACCAGTGCGGTATTACCATTGTATATATAGATTTCTGTCTGTAACGTTCTGACCGTCCCGTATCTATAGTAATATCCTCGGAAGTCGGGCACGAGGAAAGCGTTAAGAAAAAAATATATAATAATAATAGGTGAACGCGATTTATGCACGGCCCGCGTTTCCGTCAAAAACCGAAATGTTTATTTTAAATACGATTTGTATACTATATAAATAAGTATAATTTTATTACGGGTCTTCAGTGTCGGTTCGGCTCATGATTGGACCCTCGGGAAAATATTTGCAATAGTGGGGGGGGGGGTTATTGNTTTGCAATAGGGGGGGGGGGGGGTTATTGATTCCGCCGGATATCGACTCTGACGGTCATTTGTAAAACACTGAATTTTGTTTAATTAATTAGGGAAGAAATCTATACACACAGTAAACTATACTACAGACCTATGTCGTACCTAAACGTAGCAAAAAATGTATATGGTTTTATTAGAATGTACATCTATATGTATTGTTTCCTCTGTCTGTGAGCAATTTTTCTACTGGAAATCTGTACCGGATTTTTTTCGGATGTGAGAAATTAATTTTTTGTTTTTCCAAGTGGCTTTTATTATAATTGGGAAAAACCGCGGCAAAATGTAGGAAAAACGGAAAATTGTACGTAAATAGAGATCTGACTTAAAATAGTCTGTCGATTTTCGAGTTATTTGTGGACATTTGACAATAAATTTTTTGACGATGGTTATTTTGTTTTTATTTGGTAGGTAATAAATGGATACAATTGTTTGAAAAAACAGAAAAGCTTAAAAATTTAACTTGATGTGCATCATAAGTTGTACTTAATAATATTAAAAATAAAAGCTGTCCTTGGATAATGGTTTTGAGTTACGGATGCAGTCACTGTTATAGGTGAGAAGTTGGAAGGTAGTTGAAAGGAAATTTAATATATATCTGTAACTTGTAAGCAAAAATAAACCATTGCTAACGAAAAAACGATTCTGAGCGGAGTTAAGCTGATAGTGATGCTTGTCAACAATATATATATGTTATATTATGGTAAAATAATTACATAAGCATTATATAATTTCTTTAATATTTGTTTAATGTTGTACCGATTTTCCCGTTCTTCTACGTTTTTCACGATTCTCCCGTGTATTTTTCGCGGTTTTTCATATTTGCTGAGAAAACTCTTTATAACTTCGAAAAATGACCCTATTCGAGTACTTCCCCATACCGATTTCCTTCAGAAAAGGTGCTATACGTAAAAATTGGGGCAAGATTTCTGAAAGAAAAGTCACGCACGAAAAATAAACATGTTTGTAAAACCATAAGCTACTTAATTATAATAGTATTTCAAGAAAAAATGTCCAATTTGCGAGCAGTGATTTTAAAACCATAAGAATATTTTAAGTAGGGCTACGATTTATATTCAATAAAAAATGGTAAAATATGCATTTGATTTATTTCAAATATGCATACAAAATATTAAAAAAAAACACGACAAAAAAAAAAACTAAATTTTTAAATTCTAAAATATTAAAAATATTATAATAAACTACTGATGTTAGTCAAAACTATTATATGAAACAATGGTGCATTATTTAAAATTTTCAAAAATAAAAGATCTTCTGTTAGATCTTGGTAGATATGTTTTTATACTTGCTAAAGCAACATATTACTTGACGCAATTTTTCCTTTTTTAAATTTTGCAATTTTCCTAGAAGTTAGATTGTAATGAAAATGATAAAATTATATGTTGAAAATATACCCCCACTATACCTATATAAATACTTGAATATTTTTTTTCTTTTGATAATATTTTGTTTTCTAAAACCGCCATGGCTGAAGTATACCATGAAACATGCATTTGTAAGAGAAAGGAAATTAGGTATAACAGGCGGTTAGGTTGTAGTTGTAGGTAAAACCAGACGAGTGGGTTGGGGTCCGTCCAGGAGTCGATGATTGTAAAATGTGAAACACGGATCTACAGGGTATTATTGGTATTAATATTATTTTATTGTGCGTAGGTCTAACACATATAAGATGTAAAAAAGCGACAATGGAAGAATCTTTTGAATAGGTCGTCGAGGGGTTGAATTGGTGTGTGGTCGTCGAGTGTTGAGGTGGTGTGTGGTTGTCGACGATTTTACACGCGATGCTACGTTGCCACTGTGTGCTTGTAGACAGATGTGATGCTATAACACGCCACGGTGTTTATTAGCGATAGAAAACGAAATGGTTGACACCTGGTGGTGGTAGCACAAAACGTTGTAACGGGGTCGACATGGTAATTGAATTATTGATGAAAATATGAAATACAAAATATTGAAAATTGGTTTACCCGATTTCTCATTAATTTATTAACCTTACGTCGTGTTTTAATTTTGATTACACTTTCGCATTTGGTAGCTGCCAACCCATAATTATGAGTTATGCCTATCGTACCACAACACTAAAAATTCGCAAAAACATAATTATTATCATTTTCCACAATGTAAAACAATATTCTTTGTATAAACATATGCAAAATAATTATTTGATTTTTATTCAATAAAGTCAATACCAATACCAAGAGGATGTGACTTTTCACACTTTTCCTAAAAAAGAAACAGGAGCATGATTTAAAAATGAATATTACTAATTCTCCTACAAATAATATTAATGTGTGCAGCAAACATTTTATGAAATACGATTTCTTACAATTTACAACAAGTTATTATTAAAATTTAGAAATAATGCTCAAATTATATAGAATATCTACCAACTGTTAAATTAATATGGAGGTATTTTAATATGGTTGTTATGTAATGGATGTGATTTTAACAATTCAATAGAACTCATAGGACCATAGAAACATAGATTTTCCACCGAAATTACTAGTTTTAACCCTTTGGGGCAATTTTTTTCCATGGAAAATATTAAAAGTTAGCATTCATATTATAAATAAAAAGGAAACAAATTTAGATGTTTTTACTATAATACCACAATGCCTCAAAGGGTAAGACACATAGCAACGATTGTACCTAATACCTAATACATGGCGTGACGTTGTCACTAAAATTATTACCATGGCTAATCTTATCAGTTATACCAGCTGTTATCACATGTTTACCATATTTATATTATCACAATAGAAGTGAAACGAATGCAACGTTCGAGAGATAGCGTTGTGCGCCGTATCGCCACCGTCGTGGCATGTTGCAGCCACGGCCACCTTATACCGTAATTAATATGTTTGTATATTGTGTATATATTTTAATAATTTATCATTATTATTTTTCTAAATAATATTTTTAATAACATACCGTTAGCAATCATTATTAACGAGCTCACCATATTCCGCCCGCCAATTAGGTGGTCAACGCATACCGTATTTTTCTGAATCTGAATGTCGCCGACTGCCGATGCAAAGGTTGATAAATATAATTGTGTCTTGGCGAGCGTTACCATATCGTCGAATAACCTAAATCATCCCGCACTATCCTATACACCATCTTCGTCTATATCGTAAGTATAAGTGCCTATACAAAATACGGTTATCGATAGACAAAGAGTTATAATAATAGACAACGGACCTGCACAGGCCTGTGTGGCAAGGGTCTGTAACGTCCTTCTCTCCCCCGCCCCTCTTCCCACTGACGAATATTTGTACAATATTATTTCGCGGCCGCGCGCTCGCCTCCTCTCCTCCGCCCGTCTACCCACCGTTACAAACAATTTTTGTCAACCGCAATATAATCTAGAAATGTAGGAAATAATTACTATTTACACCGTTAAATATTATCGGATTATTGATCCGTGACCACAACGACGGGATGATCGATCGTCAGTAGTGATTTTACTACACACCAGTGTTCAAGTGATTTATGTTTTTCTCTCGCGAACACCGTTTTTTTTTTCTAAGTCATAATAATTTTCGTTGCTGATTAACAGCAAAGTTTTTAACGTCAAACGTATTATGACTCGCCACGCTTAATCGCACGACGGAGTAAAATTACAATGTGCTCTGTGTCCGAAATTGTTCGCGCGTAAAGACAACCACGATATACACGTTAAAATTGTTCATCGTGACGGAAGAGTCGCCACGCCGGCTATTCCCCCGCAGGCCGGACCATCTACAGTATCATCGACTTCAACCGTGTCATGGACTACCGACGAAGAAAATGACGAGCTGTTTATGGAAATCGAAATGTATGTTTACGACGGTAAGATTTATTTTATTATTACACTTTTCGATTTATGGCGCCGAGTCTATCGTCTCTCGCATCGTACCTACACACATCCGATTTTGAGAAGTTTTGCGAATCCAAAATGTATTTAACATCGAAAACATGCGGCTTGTAACTCGTAAGGGAGTGTACCCGTAAGAAGTACACGGATAGCTGGGAGAAATTGGAAGACGAAATTTTACCGGAGAAAGAGTAATTTTAGAGCACGTTGACCGATATAAATATCAAGGATGTGGAGTACATTGACGCGAAAATCGTATGGAGCCATTTCAACTGTCGTACACTTGGCGAGAACAGTGACTTGTATTTGAAAATCGACGTTAAAAACCGAATATTATCGTATAAAAACTAAAACCGCGATATTTGTATGACGACATACAATTTGGATCCGGCCTACTACTACACGGCGCCCGGATTCAGTTTCGACTGTATGTTGTAATGGAAATACGCCATGGTAGAACTTGAACTTCTTTCCGACTACGATATGCTGTTAACGTTCGATAAAGGTATACGTGGTGGACTGGTGTAGGCGAGTATGCGGTATGGAAAGGCGAATAATTATACGGTGTCGGACTATGACAGAACAAAAGACGATTCGTGGATTTTATACCAGGATTGTAAGTATATATATTATTTAAAAAATATATATGTAAAGAAAGACTTTCTTTATTTAAAATTTGCCGCGCTTCATGTATTACACACGCCTTTTAATTAACCCCGCTAGGTGGAACAATAGATAAGATGACTAGCAAATTTTGATTACAGAAGTGAATTTTTTATAATAATTTTTAGAATAATTGAGTAAGCCAAAGAGTGATAATAATAAACTTTAATTGTTGTTTCTTTTGTTTCACAGGTAATCTTGTAATTATTTAAATTATTGTACATAATCTATGCAAATAAAACTTAATTAAAACTTTTGTTTCACAGAGAAACTAAACTGATTATTATTATCAATAGAAAATATAACACCTTCATAATATATATATCAGTCACTTATAATTTTTTTTACTGTTTGTTTTAGGTAACAATTTGTACGGGTGGGCCATGTCACAGTACATGCCCCATGACGGGTTCCAGTGGAAGGAATCTACATTAGACGGTTTGGAGGATCTGACAGACACTTCTGATATCGGGCGGGTATACGAGGTGGATATATAGCATACCCGAAACACCTACACGTGGACCACAACGACTTACTTTACTTGCTGAATAACGGATTGCCACCAGGCTCTAAGGTGAAATAATTGATGGCGACGTTGGAAGAGAAAAAAAATTACATTATACACTACAGCAATTTGAAGCAGGCTATAGCTAATGTACTGATTGTTAAAAAGGTAAATACTTTAATTTTTTTTTCTTATTAATTTTATTTATTTATTATATTTTTTGTATTATTTATGTTATAGGCAAATAGAGTTCTAGAGTTTAAACAGTCGCCTTGGCTTGCAAAATACATTAGTTTAAATACAGAGATGAGGAAGAAGGCAGTTAATGATTTTAAAATAGATTTCTACAAACTTATGAACAATGCTGTTTTCGGTAAGTTCTTCTTCTTATTATTATTAAAAATTGACTGTTATTATATTATTATAATTTTCTAGGTAATTTTCTAGATGGAATCAATTTGACGGAGGATAGACATTGAGATAGTATCCTGTGAGAAGAAAATGCTGAAACTTATAAACAGAACAACGTTTAAACACTACTTCCTACAATGAAAATCTGTGTGCTGTATCATTAAAAAACAAGATTATACATTTTTGCAAACCGATCTATATTGGCTTCGCTGTGCTGGACATTTCAAAAACTCTATAAACTTGATGTATACCGATACAGATAAATTATTTTTTTTTTTTTCTTATACATATTATATTGTTTTCTATTATTATTTTTCAAATTCTTTGGTATATTATGTTAAGATGAAAGTTTTTTACGTGGACCTGTTAAAAAAAACACGAGCTGTTGGAGTGTACGGGCACGACTAACCTACTGAGAGAACCTGTGCTTTGTTGAGATTTGTTTTTTAAGATTTAATACATAAAATATATTATTTTACTATTTTAAAAATATATATTAAATTTGCATGTACATACTTATTATTTAAAATGTATTTTATTTTATTTCAATGCCTGACGGCAATTTACAAGAATATTTAAGTATTACTAAATATTAAAGATAACAATTAAATAAGATAACCTAAAAGTACTAAATATAATTATCTACTCAGCTTTCTAAACCAGAAATCGACTTCTTGTCTCTCGATGATTCACATAGAGAATGTTCAGCAGTACCTTTATCAGTGAAGACACATATGAAGACATTTAAAAATAGTNAGGAAGCAACCATCATGTTCCAAATAGGATATGAGATTCAGTAGACATTTTGCAATATTAATGCCAACAATTTGTTTTCATCATTACAAAGGCTTTGTTTTTAATACAGTTCTATTTGTGAAATATCTAAAACAAAGACACAAATTTAAAATATTAATATAATATTTGTAAATTATAATACTCACTTGAGAGATTTCAGTATAGACATATTGAATGAATTTTGTTTTTATTTTTCAGATTTATTGATTACAGCTTTCACAATTTCTTCACCTATAGCCTTAGCCATAAGAGGACTCACAGCATTTCCGATCTGAGAATGCTTGGCATTAATAGGGCCATAAAATGTGAATTCATCATCAAATCCTTGTGCTCTACCACATTCTCTGACACTCGTAATACGTGATTGTTCAGGGTGGAAAACAGTACCTTGTTTTCCTAGAGGATCTGTATTTTGGGTAATAGTTGGGAAGATTCCGTCGAAATTTAATTTTCCGACCACACCCGCCCAATTGTTGTTATTATTGGCTGTGTGGCTGACAGAGTAGGGTATTAGTGTGTTATTCTGCTTTTTTGTTGATTTACATTCTTTCAAGCAAGTTGTCACACAATTACAGACTCCACGGAAGGCCCCATCTGGGCTATTCCCATTCTTTTGGTCATAATGATTGTATTTAAGGATTTGGGTTATTGTGCCATCTGACAGCTCGACTTGTATATTGGGCAAGTATCGCCAGTCTAGACCAAAAAACAATAAACTAAGTCTCCCTTCCATTAAGGGAGATATTAATTTGCAAATATGTTCAGTAAGTATTGAATTTGAATATTGTTTATTCGGATATCTCATTGATTTTTGATAGGATGTTATTGGTTGGTTTTGATATTCCAAAATGTCATTATTTGCTCCATTGGATATTATCGGCAAATCACTGATTGCATCATAAATTGTAACAGCTCTCATAGGAGCAGATTCTTCATACTCACAATTGGTTTTATACATTTTATCCCCAAATTTTATATCTAAACCGGAGTATTTTTTATGAAATACATGCTTGGGTTTTGGATAAAATGGTAAAGTTTCACCAGGGGCTGCTCCCATTATTATCAATCTTCTCCTATTTTGAGGGATACCGAAATTAGCTCCTTGAAGGATGCCAAAGGAGATTTGATATCCCATCTGTAAAAGACATTTGATAGTGGAAGAAAGAAAGTTGCCTCCATCATATGTTACATAATTTTTGACATTTTCCATTAATAAAAATTTTGGTTTATAAAAATTTATATAAGACAAAAATGTTGCACTTAATGCGTTCAAACGCATTGATTTTTCTGTATAACTAAATCTATTCATTCCACTGAATCCCTGACAAGGGGGGCCTCCAAATATGATATCTACTTCACCTCTTTCTGGTATTTTTTGATTTTTATCATTTGTTCTTTTTCCAGATAAAACTAATTTCAATAATTTGTTACAATCATCATTAAAGACTATTGCATCAGTATTATTTAATTTGAATGCTTTTGCAGCATTATGTTCTATTTCCACTGCCCATTTTGTCATGACTGATCCACTGTTTTCTAATCCTTTGCTGAATCCTCCACAACCCGCAAAGAGGTCCATACCTTTAAGTGGACTAATTTTCTTATACAATGGAATAAATTGTTTTTTGTTTTCATTGACATAATCATAGTTATATTCAACAGCTACTTCATTCCCGGTTAATTTTGCATCACAAGAAAGTGAATATTCTGAAATGATCTTTTTTGTATAACTGTTATATCCATATTTAAAATAAAACCTATCTGGTCCTTGAGCAGACCAAGTAACAGGATCCCTTATATTCATAATGTTGGCTACATAACATTTTCCAACTATAATAAGACAATTAACATCAAATGTATCCTCTGACCAAAACACCATGTTCATATCATCATTTTTGTGATCATTTCGAAATGCTATTTTTTCTGGTCTATACATTAGGCGTACAGTGATGTTGACATTTGTTCTGTCATTATTTTTTACATAAATCCCGGTTATTTCTCCAATATCATACGGGTCCACTGTAAGTTCATTGTAACTATGTTTAGAATTTTTCGTTCGGTAGTACTCAGGATATATTGTTTCATCAATATCTTCATCATTTTCAAAATCTTCATCATCATCATCATCATCATCATCATCATCATCATCATATTCTTCATCCAGTTCAATATTATTTTTATCTTCATCTGTTGCCTTTAAATGAAACCCAGGTTGTAAATAAACAAAACTTCCTATTTTATATTCTTCATTGCATAAATTGAAATTTTTAAAATAATATATGCCATTGTATTCTTCAATGAAATCCAGGACTTGTGGAGTTTTTGATTTAATTTTTAAATGTTCCTTTATGCAATTAGAACATTTTTGTTTTATTTTTTTTTTATCAAATGCAATATCAGAATTATCTAAAGTTTCAAATCTAGAAAATTCTTCATTCAGTTTAAACGTGTAAAAACAAGTACCACTTTTTTCACAATTAAGATAATTTCTTTGCATCTTATTTTCACATGGATTTATATACTTAACATTTATTATCTTAATTATATCATAACAATAAATATTAATACACTTGTTAAGAAGAAATAGTTCTTTAACTTCTGATGTACTGCTAAGTACAGTATGAATACCATGCGTAAGTAATGATATGTGTGCCATTAATTTATTGTCTTCTCTGTATACATATTCAAGTAGACCAATTATATAATCAGTTGAAGAATCTTGTTTTGCAATAACATATATTTTTTCATCCAATTTCGCAGGTACCTTTTCATAAGTATTATCATGTTCTTCTAACACTTCTTCATAATCATGTTTCTCCAACTGTGTGGCAAATATTTTTTCAAATATTTCTGCTACTAGTGGTGTAGTTGTGGCTTTACTGGGTAGACCACTCATTTTAACAGAAGCTTGATTAGTCTGTTCCTCTTGAAGAGATCTATAAAATTTATTACAAAATGTATCAAAAATAATAATAAAATTTAAGGTACAGTTGTTATGTGTGATCTACTGTAAAGGTTGTAATGGTTATCTATATAAATAAAAAAAAAGGAAGCATTCAGCAGTTGAAAAATTGATATGTCAATGTAGATAACGATTACAATAGGTGCGTTCTGGCGTTCTAAACAGTTTTGTGATTCAAGTTTATGGCTACATGTTTCAATTAGTAGACGTTTCTGAATCACCAAAACAAAAATTCGTAATTATGGCTACCAACATATTTAATAACACCATCACAAATCATAATTCACATGATGTTTTTGAATGTTCCACTTCGAATTTCGTTCTCGCCCGTGTAGGTACTAGTGTTTTTCAAATTTGATATGATAATTAGTAACAATAGAATATTATTGCTGATATATTATACCGATTTAGGTATACTTTGTGTTTGGAAATATAAGGGAAACGCGATTTTTCAAAAAAAAAAAAAAAAAAAATACATGTCCTTGATTTTAATGATGATGAAGGATGTTAAGAAATCTGATGACGATGGTACTAACAATATAAGGGTCATGATAAAACAGAAATGCCATCCGAAAATTCTTACGGTCATTCGGAATAATCATTTTCGTCCGAATGCTTAGATTGAAGGGTCGATAGCAAGGTACTAACAGTGCATATAATTTCCATGGGAATTAACGTACAAGGGAA